GCAAAAGAAGAAGCATGCAATGTGGTGAAGATTAGTGGGAAGCCTTTAAAAAACAGCAGAGGACAACTAATAAAAACAATAAGTGAGGAGAAAATGAGATATGAAAGTAAGCCATCTAGTAATATTAAAGAAGATTGCAAGGGTTCTTTTTAGAGAAAAGATAAGAGAGAGGCAAGGTGGGCAATAGATTGCTGGAGAAGTAGTAATGGGGAAAAAGAAAATGGCAGAGGAACTGAGTAGGTATTTTGCATCAGTCTTCATGGTGGAAGACACCAGCAGCACACTGGAACTTCAAGAGGGTCAGTGGGCAGAGTGTGGCGGCCATTACTAAGGAGAAGGTGATGGGGAAGCTGAAAGGCCTGAAGGTAAATAAATCACACAGACCAGATGGACTACACCCTGGTATTCGAAAGGAGATTTCTGAGGACATTGCCGAAGCATTGGTGGTAATCTTTCAGGAATCATTGGAGTTAGGAAAGGTTTCAGAGGACTGGGAAATGGACACTTCTGTTCAAGAATGGAGGGAGGCAGAAGACAGGAAACTATAGGCTGGTTAGCCTGACCTTGATCATAAGATTTTAGAGTCCATTATTAAAAATAAGACTACAAAGTAATTGGAAATGCATGGTATAATAGGGCTGAGTCAGCATGGCTTCACCAAGGAGAGGTTATGCCTGACAAATCTATTAGAATTACTTGAGGTGGTAATGAGAGAGTTGGACAAAGAAGAGCCAGTAGATGAGATCTATTTGGATGCCTCAAAGGCCTTTGTCAAGGTGCCACACAGAAAGCTGCTAAACAGATAAGAGTGCATGGGGTTAGGCACAATGTACTGGCATGGATAGAGATTTAGCTGACAGGCAGGAGGCAGAGAATAGGGGCAAAAGGATCTTTTTCTGTTCGGTAGTCAAAAATCTATCTTTTCCGCTCTGCAAACAAGGAACCATTTGAAATAGCAACTTGCTTGTGTAATGCATCTGCAGGTGATGTTTCATCTCCAACACAAAATCAGTTAGGAGATGAGGAAATTTTGGGATGTCACTCTGAGATGGTTTTCTTGGCTATTTTCATCGCCTCTGGAGAAAATATAATTTTGGTTCAGTCCTTTGTTTAATCCATGTTGATTTCATGAAACATGACTGACTTATGAGGTTAGGGGATGCCTGTGGACATTTTAAGTCAACATTTTTGGCTCCTTTTTTAAGACAATTTTAAGCCACCAAAATCCCAGGTACTGAATCGTACAATGGAGTTCAAGATTCAATAGTCCACATTTTACATCATTGTGACACATTTTAGGAAAAATATGAGGATCTTTGAGATGGGCAAAGAATGAATTATCAGAATGGTTCCAGGGATGAGGAATCTTAGCTACCAGTTTAGTTTGAATAAAATGGGTTTGTTCTCCTTGGAGACTGGGGAGAGATCTGTCAGAGACGTACAAGATTATAACAGGTTTAGATAGGGTGGCTAACAGAATTCCCATTTGCTGATGCCACACAATTTGTCATAGTACAATATCCAAACCCAATTAGAATGTAAAATAAATGTTATTTCTTACAGATTGGTAGAAATTAAAAATCACTTATTTGAAATAAGAATAAATTATTGAAGCTCATTGTTATAATTTCCGGTATTAATATAAAATGGGTAAAAAATACATTATGAGCATAATGGGCAAATGGCATCCTTCTATACCATAACTATTCCATGGTTTTTTTGTGCTGCCAACAATTGGCTCAAAATTAACATTAAGCCTAAATTCCTATAGTAAAATAATAAATATCTTTTCTCCAGAAATTCAAAAGATGGATTAGTACTGGAAGGGTATTGCATTTTGTTTTGGCAAAATTATGAAACTGTTGTGGCTGCAGTACATGCTTTGAACCACTTCCAGCTGATTACAATGTTAACAAATCGGTACATTTGGGGCAAAGAGGGTGCTATTTCCTGGTCAGCATTAAGCAGAATAGAAATGTCAATAAACTAAATACCAAAGGCTATCTTAAGAAATCTGTTAAGAAAATTCAGTATGCATTGGTTTGGAGAAATTGTTACTGCATTGACAATTGCAGCTGTAATGAAGAGCTGGTAATTTGCTTAATTGATATTGGCTCCTTATGAAGTCCTTATTCCACTGGGGTTGGTTATTATCTCCAACCTGTCTATCAGCGTCAGGAAAATACTCACAACTTCTTTGCAGATTCTTTTAATCAACCTGTTCAGGGAGGCCATGACACACCTTAGGAGCAGGAAGGTCTTGAACCTAGGTCCCTGGTTTCCATTGTGCCACAGGATCCTATCACATTGATTGCTTTGTCCTGTATTAAGTATTAAATAGTAACTCTACCATTAGCAAGGCATTTATCATTTGTTCATAAATGTGGTTCACTATTGTACGTATTTAAGACTGGATTTAAGTCTTCTTCAGACAACCTACAGGGCCTCAGTCGTCCTGTTGTGTGGATCTTAAGGGGACTGGCAGAAGCCCAAATGGGACATTATCTGAAGAAAACTGGATACTTGTAACCTTAAAATCCATAAAACGGTAAGTATTCTATCCAAAGTTCCACCTCTTGGATATTTTTTAAATGATCTTTAAATTACCCCCTAGACAAGAAAACAAAGGTGGACTGCCATCTCAGCTCTCTAATCACTGTCCAATGATATTAAGGTCAGATTTTGTCTCTGCACTGGTTAACATATTTGTATTGTGTTCCTGTCTACAATCATTTAACAAAGTTTATTTGTATGAACTTGTATACTCTGTGAGCTGCCTCAGAGTCATAGAGGTCTGCAGCACTGAAAAAGGCCTTTTGTTTTCTTGAACTGCCACAGTCCACAGAGGTTTTGTACACCCACAGTGGCATGGGGACAATGCTTTCCAGCCTCCCCAACCTGCCCATTATCACAGAGGCTGATCTTTAACAAATTTGTTCACTCTATGTGACATCATGAATCCACTGATTATACTTGAATCATCAAAGGCTGTGAGTCCTGGCATCATCGAAGCTATAAAGACCTGCTCTCCAGAATTAGCCAATCCCTGAGCAGGAGCAGAAATTTTAGGTCTTGGGGTCCAAAGCCAACCTCATCACCAACATGGCACAGCAGGTCCCCTAGAGCCCCAGGTCCAGTTATCTGGCCACAGTACATGCCCCTGTCCCAGCCCCTGGCTCCAAGTCAGACTCCTCCAGTACAGTGGCAACACTGGCATCTACCTGAAAATGTTGGACATTGCCCCATTTATGTCTTGTTTACAAAATGGACAAAAATCCAACTTTACTAATTACTGCATTATTGACCTATCCCCAATTATCAGCACTGATGCAAGGAGTTATCAGCACTGATGCAAGGAGTTATCAGCAGCATATTTTATCAAGAAACGCTTACTTACCAATAACCCAGTTATTGCATCTTTGGCCCAAACATGAACTTGAAAATGAGGTGCAAATGAATGCCCTTGCTCAAGGGCAAGTTTGGCACCAAGGAACTTTAGTAAAACTGAAATGAATGGGGAACAGGAATGAAACTCCTCCATAAAATTAAACTTTGGTCCAGAACATAAGTAAATAATGTGAGTGATTAGTTCTTGCTTTTCAATGCCCATAACAAACCTACAGCCAGGGCAGAGCAGAAAGAGAAATGTCACTTATGGTCATGATCAAAATCTGTGGAAAAGCTCCAACAAATTAAAAGTTTATTTCATTGTATTTTATATGTAATTCTGTTAGTTGTGCATTTTATTTAATATGCCTTTATCTAATAACTTATTTTAAGAAAGACACTGACTGTTTGCAAAGAACAGTTCAAACCCTCATCAAACATGCACTTTTGAGGGTCCTGAAAGAGCTTCACTGCCAGATTCATCAAATATGCTGTTTGTTGTGAGCTGTAATCAAAAAATTAGTGGTTAGAAATAATTGAATGAAAGCAATTAACATCTCCACACATTGGATTTGACGCAAATCCATTGTTGACAATAATGCAAATTGTCCTGTTTTAACTTAACCAGTTATAAACTGTTGTGTAAACAAGAAATAAAAAGGCAAATATTGCAGAGAGTTAAATTTCTAATTGGAAACTTAGTTTGAGTTTAAATTAAAAAGAAAATGTGCTTTCTAATTCAGGGGTAGTAAGTTACTCTATCAGTGAAACAAAATGCCCTTGACAGAGAAATCCATGCATAATGGCGAGAACAAGGGACACAAGAGACAAAAGGCAATAGATTTACCCTTTAATAGTAAGAGTATTTGTAGTGCATTGCAATGATTAGCACTAACTTCTGTGTTCTGAGAGATTTATAAGATACTGATCTGGTAATTTAAGTAATAGGTCTACACATATCTGTTGAATAAAATAGAGCATTGTAAGAGGCACAGTGAAAACTAAATGTAATAATCAGTGTAAAAAGATAAATAAAGCACTGAAGTCACCAAGACTAGCAATTTTACCAGAACTGCTTGGACGTGAGTTTATATAGGCTGCTCTCTGTGGTACTTTCATTATTCACATTAAACAAAGCACACTAGAATTTACAAATACCCAAGGTCTGAATTAATGCCAAAAGTTCTCCTTTTGTTGCAGATGATAAACCCACCTTAATATCAATTACCTCAATCCTGTGTAAACCACTGAAAGTGGGTTTTTTTGCTGTTTGTGAGTAGATTATACAGGTAAGTATTGTAATGGGCCACATTTCTCTGAACAGATCTCACAAGTGCCACTGGTGTGGGTCAATGTTTGAGGTAATCCAAGCCACATTATTAATTTGGTACCTGCACACTGTTACTGTTTGATTCACAATTCCAAGCATAATTTCCCTGTCTGTTTGCTTCCTTGTCCTGTGCTTTGCCTGTTGCACGTCTATTTCTGGTATCTGAATCAAGTACCTTTAATTTTAGTCAGTTCCGATGGTGATGCAGAGGGTACTGTGAACATGCATTTAACAGAATCTGCAGCAGTGTGCAGCCACTTATTGTTTCCTATTATCTTTACAGAGAGGGAAAAAAGCCGACGCTGTCCCACTGCTGGCAATAGCTGTGCCGGTGGTGTGTGGGAGTGTGCTACTGATTGTAATAGCTCTTATTTTTGTGGTTCTTACTGCACGTAAAAAGCGTCAGACAGAAGGGACGTATAATCCAAGCCAACAAGAGGTGGCAGGGGCTCGATTGGAGATGGATAGTGTCCTTAAAGTGCCACCTGAAGAGCGCTTGATATGATTACTCAAACGAACGTTTAGAGAAACAGATACTTTTATTTTGAAAAGACCTCATACCTGATGGGACAGGTAGCATTTCTGCTGTGATATGCCTCCTGAATACTACTGATTTCTGATACAACAAGCAAATTCTCTCATTCCAAGCATCTGCTTCATCAAGAAAGTGATCACCAATTTATTTTGGCTGTGCAATTTTCTCATGGTAAATCCAGCTGGTGAACCCCCCCCCCCCAAGAAAATTCACCCTCAGTATGCTGCTTCTTGCAATGCCATATGGATGAAGTAACTTATTACAGTATCTACAGAAGTCAACCATGACAGATTCAAGCATTTCCATTTACGTAATGATGCAACATCACATCAGCTAAGATTACTTCAGTCTCAGAAGTAGATTTCACTGGTTATTCTAATCCTCCATCAGCATCTTGTGTTGACTGAAAAGCTTTTAAATGAGCTCTTGTTCTCCGACATGAAATTATGGTGGAAAGCTGTTTTCATATAAGTAACTGTGAACTAATTTTCAGTATTAAGTAGTTCCTTAAAAGCAGATACAATGCCAGCTGGCCTTGAAAATGAAGTTACATTAAAAAAAAAGTTAGCAGCGTGTTAATGGTAGAGGCTTTTCTTTTCTCAAGTCTATATTTACTGGGAAAGAGTTCCACATTAAGTGATGGTACCTGTTATACAAAATTAATCTTCTCTGGAACTAATATCATTGTCTAATGTTTTCCATGTCTAATTAAAGACATGTTGATCATGATCAAGTTTGTACACAGCTTAAAAGTACGTATGTTTGTTGCATCAACAGTTCTCATTGATGTACTGTCCCTGCCCATTTTATTGACAAACTGCTGTTGTGTGAAAAGTCTCCCCATAAAGTCAGGATGAAAGTTTGTTACTTGCAGTCTGATGCGTGCTGTTGGACAAGGTCAATAAACAGTGTAACTTTCTCACTTCCATTTTACTCAATGGTGATGTTCTACAACAGAAAGGAACTACTCAAAGAAATTACGTTCCCATTATCGCTGGTTCTGTGGCTACAGCTGGAGGACTTGCAATCTGCATCATTGCTGTTATAGTTCTGGTGCTCACTATGAAAAAGAAGAGGGCAACTCAGGGAACCTATAGTCCCAGTCAGCAGGAAAAGGATGGAGCAAGAGTGGAGATGTGGAACATAATGAAGCCTCCACCAACAGAAAGGCTTATTTGATGTTCATTAGTAAACTGAAGCTTATTCATTGGGATGAAACTGAAGACAACATACGGGTTTCAATTGGTAAAAAGTGATCCATTAGTTCAATCTAGCTATAACTAGACTGTGACACCAAGTATGGCTCAGTTAGGAAGAGCTAAGTTGATAGTATGTGGAAATAGGTTAATCTTAGAAGTACACAAGTGGTTAGACACAAATTATTTGCTGCTCACAAATGCAACACACATCATATAATACTAAATACCTTAAGGTGCACCACATAGGTTTCAAAAGCTTTTTAAATAATTGCTCACTCCAGTCATACAATATCTTTTGGCACAATTTGAATTATAATTACTGTGGCAGTTTGCTACTTCTAAGATTAACTATGGGAAGGATCTGTTTTACTTTTCCTGACTAATTACTTTAAATATAGGTATTTAGTCAAATGCTTTGCTTCCACTTTCCTTATTGGATAGTCTCCACAAATAACAGAAATGGGTTATGAAATAAAACGTATTGTCAACAGTATCTCTAAATTATATAATGAAGTGATAGGCAGCATTGTTAAAAGTAGTATGATGGAACATGGAATAGTTGTTTTAAACAGTGAGGTGTGAAATTAATTCTAGGTTAGGAAAAACAATGATTTCCATACTCAGATGTAAACTGTATCCCTTTCAATCGGGTCAGGTGAAAGTAGGAACCAATGTGCTGAAACTCTAACATTTTGATTTGAATCTAAAACCATGAAACAAATGCAGTAGTGCATTCAACACTTTCTATTTTTAGATATTTCAAATAGAATTTACTTTAAGCCCCAACATTTTTGAAAAATTTAAATAAAAATAAAGTCACTAAATCCCATTGCAGCCAGGCAAAAATTTTATTCTGTATTGTATTAAATAGCTCTGAGGTATTTAGTTTAAGGCAAATAGCTAAAACTTTCCATTCAAAATCAATACACCTGCCTTTTCTGCCCTAGGAAGCAATAATTTTTTTGAATTTTAAAAGTGCAGATCACTATTCTTTTTGTAATCAAGAAAGTTCCATTATTTATTTAAGTGACAGTAAATCGGTCTCTGGCAACTTTGAAGATCCTTAAACCATAAGTGCCTTTCACAGGCTTTGCGCAGTCGCCGAATCAAGCACAATCAACTTGCAATACCTGCTGGGGTCAAAAACCGTAGGAAAGATGTATTGACCTTAAAGGGTTTGCAGTGCTGATTTATCAGCATGTTTGTTGGGCTGCAACAGTAAAATTATGAGGAGAGATTGCATAAAATGGAATTGGATTCCTGGAATTTAGCATGCTAAAGTGCGATCTGATCAAAGTCTTCAACATATGAAAAGGAAACAGACAGTGTAGATAGAGAACAGCTATTTCCATTGATTGGGAATCTAGCAGAATTAGGAGGCAGAACAATTTGAGACAAATCTTTCAGGAGTGAAATTAAGAGACACTTTATTTGCAAATGGTGCTAGAATCCTCCTCCACAAGTGGAAACTGACAAGAGATTAATTGATAATTTTAAAACTGAAATGAATCAATTTGTATTAACCAAAAGAATGGAGGGATGTGGGACAATACTGTGTCAGTGAGTCATAGTGAAGATCTGGCACAATCTTATTGAATTGCAGAACAGGCCCAAGGGGTAAATAGTCTACTCACATTCCCATATTTTATTCTTCCTATATTGGAAAATAGATCATGGAGTACATTTATTAGATGTTTCTAAAAATATGCTGGAATAAAATAGTAGTGGGGATGACCAACAAATATCAAAGATTAAAATCCTTTCAAAGTTCTACCCCATGGAATTTGGTGATCATTTTGCCAGTAGAACTGTCATCCTTGGTTTGCTGAATGGAATGATTTATTGAACTGTGTAATTTATTGTTTTTTTTGTGCAAGACTTCCCTCACAATTGGTATATTGCAAAATTGCTTTTATAGTTATATAAAAAAAACCCTGTTTTTGCACAATTATTCTTGAGCAACAGTTTTACACTTGCTGGTAGACTAACACCGTTGTTTACATAAGGTCTCCAGGTCTCCCATTACATCATTAATTCAGTGAACACATTAAACTGCATGCTAATAACAAGGAGCCAGGGTAGTGGTGAAGAGCTGTAGTGTTCAATTTGATTTGGAGCCGCATCAATGCAAATTAAAACTAAAATTGTTTTCTCTATACATGACATAATTTGGATGTCTTCACCATAAAATGCATTTCAGTATAGAACTGCATCAATGCTACATGTTAATGAGATTTCCTCTAAAGATGATTTGTACACCATTGATTGAAATGCTTTTCTACATGTCGACTAGAGTGCAAGAAAATGAAAGAAATGCAGACCAGGTAATCTATACTACTGAATTTTATGCATATTTCAAAATGGAAACAGTGCCATGTTGCATTGTTTCATCAATAGATTGACTGTTTTGTTTCCCCGATATGTTTTGTGTATCATATCTGTAAGCTTCACTGGTTAGATTACAACTATAGAGGTCTACAAAATAATAAGAGGCATAGATAGGGTGAGTCGTCAGAGGTTTTCTCCCCAGGTTGGAAAGTCAACTACAAGAGGGCACAGGCTCAAGGTAAGAGGTAGTAAATTTAAGGGAGAAGTGCAGCGAAAATGTTTCACACAGAAAGTGATGGGTACCTGAAATGGACTGCCAGTGGAAGTAGTGGAAGCAGACACATAGCAATATTTCAGGCATATCTTGATTGACGCGTGAATGGGAGGTGAATATAGGGATAGAAACCGCATATGCATAATAAGTTGCAGGTCTAAATAAAGATTAGGAATCAGTGCAGGCTTGATGGGCCAAAGGGCCATTTCCTGTTCTATGTTGTATTGTATATTGTATAACTCACAAGTTATTGAAAGAACATATTGTTTCTTCCAGCATTTGTTAAAAAAAACTATCATTTTCATTACGATTTTCCCTCTGTGCCTTCTCAACTTGGAGCCCCAAAGGAGGAGGATATGGCAGGAAATGCTCTCCCTGACCCTGCGGGGAGACACTTTAGATCCAGGCCTGTGTTTTCATTTTTATTTGGATGTCTTGAGGTGTCTTATCAATTGACCTGCATGAGACCCTATACCGTACTGGGAAAAAAAAACAGCAAAAAACAAAATAAAGGGAACATGAAAAAGTGTACACTAATGTTAATGAAGGGAAGCGTTCAGATAAGCAGTGTCTTCTTTGTATAATATACACTGCTGATGAGAGCTCTTACAGAGTTGCTCAGATTGCACTAGGAACATTAACCAGTGATTGTATTCGTAGATAATTTTTACTTGACACTGGATGAAAGATATGTTGTAGACTGTGGTGCCTTTAATTTTAGAGAGAGCACCTCAGGTGTGATTTTATTAGCCAAGAAATGTATCTTGTCCCACAATATCTTCACCATAGAACTAATTGTAAATATAAGGTGCAACAAATTTATTTGCAACAAATTGAAAGCAAATCTGGATTTAATGGATGTAATAAATAAAATAAAGACAACTAATACTTCTAGACTCAGATTTTCTTAGATTGAAATTAATCTCTTGACATTATAACAATGTGATATAATAGCACAATTCCATTAACAGTTTCTCAGTTGGCTAATATATAATACTTTCATCACTGGGAACTGAATAATTGTATCAAGATTCTAAACAGTCATCTAAAATACTATTGAGAGAGACCTGGAAGAGCTAAAGTATATGTAGTTTTATTTTATTATTTATATTTTTTTGAAAAACCTTTGGATGATTTAACTGTTGTATACTGATGTGGCCACACTCTACTGTAGTGTCTTTACAACATTACAAAAACAGAATAGCAACAAATTCACTACATTAAACAGAAGATGCTGTCCCAATATACAAAAAGTACTGAACATGATGAATTACCAGCATTCTCAATAAAAGTTTCGAACTGGTTGTACCAAAGACGAGGACCCAATCTTCAGAAGGTCATAGCACAAAAATAACTCATGAAAGAGAATCTACAAAACATTTTAGACAATGTGTGCATTAGCAAAGAAAATACCATCCATCGAATCTGATTTTAGCATGTGCAAGTGAAGTACTTGAGACTGCAGGTGGAAAGTGTTGATCTGACTAGATTCAAGGGATTTTTTGGCAAAATTATCTTTGTTTAAAGAATTTTACATTGTGGAATATCTGAGTGCATGTACATCATCATATAAATTGTAAAGATAATTGCGATTCACTCGAGGATGCTATTTTAGATTAGCATCTATAGATGTACTAGATGTAATGCAATGCTGGATGATCTTTGACTTGCATTGGATAGATATCAGTGGCTCAAATTCATTGTAACTATCGCTGTTGGTACCATAGTATGAAAAGATTTTTGATTAGTTTACTGCATAAATATTTAAAATTTGCATTTAGATGTTACATTAGCGTTCCACATTTATTGTGTGAGCAGCATAATGTTCTGGTGTTGGTAAAAAGTGGAAGTTATATCACCACCACCTAATGCAATCATGCCAACCAAAAGGCTTTAGCATTAAACTGGCAAATTTTTAAAAAATTCTAGACTCCCAAAATCTAGGGTTAGTTACTAGCCCATGAGACATTATTGCATTTCCTAAATTGCATTGATCTTTCCACGAAGTTACAATCTGGGGCATTGGTTAATTGTATGAGCAATTGCAAGCACTGGTCCAAGTTCTGCAGTTAGTTGGTTAACATATGGCACCCACTATCCAATATACTTCAGTTGGTTATAGAGTTTGAGTGGGTATTTACAGTAAAAGAGGAACCATTTCAAATCTAATGGCTTCAACAAAGTTTCTGTGCCTCATGTGAACAGGCAAGCAACGCCAATGACTCTTCAACCAATCGGACTGAATAAGTCTTACAAAAAGACAGACTCAAAACAAGGAATTGTAAATTAGAAAATTTAATTAAATGTAAAATTAAAATAGAGATGAGGTATAGGAAAACAAGAGTAAAACAGCAGGAAAAGAAACAAAATTTTATTTCTATAAAATCTCCAACAGTACTCCAAGTTTGAAGGAATGGATTCTACATTGTAAAAGTAAATTTTCAATGCCAGGAAGGTTATTTGGTAGTAATCAATATTCATAGTACTTTTTAAAAATCACTTACACTTGAAGAGAGTAACTGACTTTTTCTGGCATGTTTAATGGGCATCTATAATGTGAGGTGTCATAATTTGATTGTATTTCAATGGAGAGGTTCCTGGCGAGATGCTAGGACCAGAGCAATTCAGACAGCAACTTGCTGATTTTCATGTTTAACTGTGCAAGTACGGATGGTGGAAGTTGTTGTCCAATTTATTTCTTAACACCTGATCTTGTTAGTCCCACTGTAAATCAAAGATGATGTACTTTTTTCAAAGAATCACAGAATCCCCAGAGTGTGGAAGCAGGCCATTTGGACTGTTGGGTCCAACACTGTCCCACCAAAGAGTATCACATCCGGACCCAACCCCCGACCTTATCCCTATTATCCCATATTTCCCATGTCTAATCGAGCTAACCTGCGCATCTTTGGACTGTGGGAAGAAACCCATGCAGACACGGGGAGAATGTGCAAACTCCACACAGACAGTCGCCCAAGGCTGGAATCAAACCCAGGTCCCTGGTGCTGTGAGGCAGCAGTGCGAACCACTGAGCCACCGTGCTGCCCTAATCTTAAAATCTAAATATGTAAAAGGAAATTGAATTTGCAAATAGTGAAACTCAGCAGAAACATTTCCTTAGAAATTTACGTCTCAACGTTTGAGCCCCTGGCCTCCCTTTCAGCACAAAGAGAAACTAATTTATGACACGGTCAGTGAGAAACTTATCACCAAATCCTAAGTGATTGTGCGGGTACTAATCTCCTGAGCTACATTTTGAGATATTTTTGGGAAGTGCAATCCCACTCAACAACACCTGATCAACTGATGGGACTGTTTCACGTGTCTCACAACAAGGGTAAGAGTTCCCTCAGTTTTACTCACAAACTGAGTAATACAGTGCTTTTGTTTAATAAATTGAATTGGGTCAATCTGCTGGGTTTAAATTTAAACAAAACCTGGCTGTTAACTGTCAATAGATATTAATGGGTACATTGTCCATGGCAACACCTTTGCCAATCAGCACTCTTCTCTCATGGTTTTCACCTTGAATTTGTATTCTTGTGCAATGTCCTGATGAGGGTAAGACAGGAAGCTTTAGTGAAATTTTTTTTTTCAGTAAAAAATTAATAAATCTGAGATTATGAAAAACATTAAAAGTGAAAAACACTAATAGAAATAGGGTCAATTCCCTCAAATTATATGTTTTCTCCCTTTAATAATACTTCAGAAACAAACCACCACTTACCTGAGGACCTAAAGAAGGTTGTATCTAGGTTTGATGATTTGATAATTAAGAGTAAATCTAGGATGTTATGAATAGACACAAGTCAATCACATCTTCACAAAGTTAATTATAAGACTACATTATTTTTGACAGTCTAAACAGATAGATACTATGAAAACTTGGCTATATCATAGCCCAAACATAGCTGCTGTGATAGTAAGATCAGTATCGAGTAAGTTTCGAAGTAAAATTATGATTGCAGTTTATTTTATAATGTAACTGGAGTTACTTTTTAATATTAAACTTGGGAGATTCAATTATGCCCCGTCTCTCAACCCCCACCCACCCACCAAAAAAAATGGGTTGGACAGGCTGTTTATTGCCAGTAATGAAACAAGCAGAGTGGTTTTAGACGTGACTCAAATTCATTTAAAATACTAATGACAATCAATAAAAAGATATTCGTCTGCAAATTACTAAAGATCTGAACTGTGCAAGTTGTATGAACAAGTGAATGGATATCTCAGGCCAAACTCCAACTCTTCAGCTGATCATCAGTTTGAATAATAAGCTCTTCACCAATGTCTTTGAACTGATCTAGTTTAATTCTGATGAGGCAACTTTAACCTTTAAGGGGTTGTAATCAACAACAGAGTGTAATCTTGCCCAAGTTGATAATTGACAA